AGAAACCAGTGGTAATGTTCCAGAAATTCTGAATCTGTTTCAAAAATGTAGGAATTATTTTAAAAAAATTTTATTCTGATTTAAGTACATTAATTAAAAACAACTATTCATAATAAGCAGTTAACGTCCAGAACATATTTAAAAAACCACACACAAAAAAAAACCTCCTACAACTCAACAAATAAAAAACAATCCAATTCAAAGATGGGCAAAGGACCTGATTAGATATTAATTTCCTCAATTAAATATATAAATGGCTGACAAGTAAATGAAAAGATATTTAACATCACGAAAAATTAGGGGAAAGAAATTTCAAAAGTATACTTAAAAATTAAACATCTATTAGGATGGCTATTATTTTAAAAAGAAGAAAATAACAAGGTTGGTAAGTAGCTGGATAAACTGGAACCCCTTGGGCACAGCTGGTGGGAAGACTTGCTCTGTGAAACAGCACAGACAAAAGGACAAATATGGTATGATTCCACTTATATAAAGTACCGAGAGTACTCAAAATTCATAGAAACATAGAAATATTGATTCATGCACTGTGAGGAGAGGCGAATAGACCATTCAGTTTAGGAAGATGACAAAGTTCTGGAAATGGAGAGTAGAGATGGTCATACAACAATGTGTATGTATTTAATGTCACTGAATTAATCTTAAAAATGGTAAATTTTGTTAGGTGTTTTCTATGACAGAAAATAAGAATGAAATATTCCATGAACCGATTCCAAGAAGAAAATATTCCCTTAGCCACAGAATAACAGAAAATCAATAATCACATGAAACTATAGATAGTACATACTTGGGCATCCTTATATCCGTGAAAACCAAAGCCTTAGAGAGTTCCACATTGAAGTGCATAGGCACCAAAATGTGCTGTGGAGATACATTAAGTTTTCTTGCTTCTTTCCAATTATCACCTAGTTACAGAAAACAATACATACTTTTTAAAAAACATATTTCAAACATGTAATTCAAAAACCAGCTAAACTGAAACATAATAAACCTAAAGTTATTTATACTTCAAAGTCATAGACATGTATATAGCCTTAGTGCCACTTTTCCAGGTACACACAATCCACAGGTAAATTACTTTCCCTTTTATCATTTTCCTTAAGCTGCTTTACAGGATTCTTTGTTTTCATATGAAAAATACTCATTAAAAAAGTTTTATCATATCTACTATGCATACTTCACTCAAAAATACAACATAGCTAAAAGCCAGTAATGAAAAGCATAGGGGAAGATGCATTTCTTCAGAAGTAAATAATAAAAGCTAAGCTTTATTCAAGATTTACTATTGGCACTGTTCTAGGCAATATTTAAACATGTTTTTATTTCTCACCATGGCATATACTCATACCATTTTAGAAAACTAAGACTTATTGGAATTTATCATTTGTGTATGGTCAGAAAGACTGGTAAGTGCTAAAGCTAAATTCTATATCCAAGTATTTTAAAATATGATCCTCCAGCAACACTCCCTGCAGCATCAAAAGCCTAAATGCTCAGTGAGGGAATGGATAAATAACTGACAGCATCACCTTAGAATTCCATCTAGTCTAGAAATCAGGAACGCAAGTGTCCAACATATTACTAGTAAAAATATGAGAATCAGGATTTAAACTTATCAATCATGTAAAAAACACATTCATAAATATCCCAATTCCTAAACATTACACAAGTACATGCCATACACTCAGGCACATATACTGAAAAAAGCAAAAGGAAATGCATTAAAGTATCATCATTGTTTATATGTGAGCAGTACAAAGATGCTCTTTTTGTTTTTCTGTATTAACCAACTTTTGCTAACAGACGTAATTATTAGAAAAACACAAAGTAACCTGAGTATCAAAAAATCCTGCTCTAGAATATTAGGAAAAAAAGACAAAAAATTGAAATAAATTTTTAAAGCCCTGTCCAAAAAGATTTAATCATCTAAAAATAGTTAAATATCAATAATAATTCCAAGGAATTTCAACGATTTTCAGACAACAGTAATAAAATATTCAACTTTTTTTCTCAAATCATTTCAAAATCTTAAATATTAAGTATAGTTCATAGACTTTGAAAATTAGTGACCAAAATGAATCAAACATACCAAAATACAGTTTAAGTTATTCCCTGGGGAAAACTGATGGATTTTTATATAAACAATTTACATTTGCCAATCACTATGACACACCAACTATGACAAAAACAGTCATATTCTAGTTCGTTATCCTAAAGCAAATACAGTTAAAAGAAATAAAACCAAATGTTCCAGTCTTATATAAGCTAACATTATTAATGATCACTGTTTTGGGTTCTCATTGCTTCTCTATTACTAACTCATAGTTAAAATGTGACCCTATACATCACAGACCTCTGAAACAGCCACCAATTGAAGTTACTTGTCTGCAGACATGTGAATTTCTGGCTCTGTCGTCTTTATTCTACTTTGAAGTATGTATCAAGGCTTTAAAATCTTTTAAAATATGTATCAATGCTTTTCAAAGATTGGAAAACATTGTTCTACGTCATAATTTCTCAATCTCTGTACCACTGACATTTGGGTCAATTAAGGCTTTGCTGTAATGCAGCTTTTCTCTGCATTGTATCAGGTTTAGCAGCAATCCTAGCCTTCTTTACCACAATGTTGGTAATGCCCCCAACTCTCCATTTAAGACAACCAAAAATGTCTACAGACATTGACAAATGATTTTAGAGAGGCAAAACATAGCTACTAGTCTAGCTCATATAGCTCCTAATAAATATCTACTATCACCTCTAACTCAAAAATGTAAGTTCTAACATATTTAGGATAAAAGGTCTTCAGAGAAACTGCTTTGACCTAATTCATCACTTCAGCAAAGTCAATCAGTAAATGTTTCATTGTATACTTACCAACTCTGCTATAAAGCAGCTGTATGCTTGTAAGCTGAACATCAAAGGAATCATACGCTATATGCATTATCTCTTCAAGTTTCGCACCATGTTTCACATCGGGTAATTCTGAACGACTTTTACTTGCCACCTTGAAGTTGATTTTAACAGTTTAGAGTATGTAAATATCGTCAAAATGAATATACAGTTTTGATCCTTCAAACTCTAATATAAAAATTTAGTAGGAAAGGATAAACTCACAATTTGAATACACTATAAAGGTCATCAGAAATGTTCTTATCCATGACATGAATAATGATATGGCCAAGCACAGTGAATTTTCACATATTAAGCTATACTTTCCAATTACTTATATTAAAAGACAGGAACCAAGTCATTCCTGGAGAATAATCCACATAAAAATTTTCTAAATCTTAGAAGTATTTTTCTTAAAAACACTGAGATAAATAAACTCACAAAATATTTTTATGACTCTTGGACAGATATTTGGATAGCTTTATAATGAGAAGAGATAAAGATTAAATATTAAGATAACTGAATTTTAGTCCCAACACTGCCATCAGGTGATCCTAAGAAGTTATATTTCCTCTTTTCTGGCATAATATATATACTACTTTGTCCACTTGAAACATCGCAGAAATAATTTCACAGCAGTAGAGATCTTACTCATTTGCATATACACACGCATATTTGTGTGTAACACTATACACATACACAAACACACATTTTTCTTCTATCTGATATAGAGCACATACAGGAAAAAATCAAACTATCTGTTTGAAAGATAGTGAATTTTAGGCAAAAGGCTAAGCAAACTGCCTGTCATGAACAGATCCTTACTCCTGACATTATGCTCTTTCCGCTATAGCACACTGCCCTTGAAACAATTACACAACCAAATTAAAATATGAATAATTAGCTGTATGAACTTGATTATAAATGTAAATCAGGTGTCTACATAATTACCAACTGAAGAGTAAAAAATAAAGGACAATGTCAATATCAAAAGAAGACATATTTGTTAGGCAGCCAGAAACTATTCCAATATTGTCCATCCCTCCTGTATCTTCAAACAGTTATAGTTACTATTCCTCTATACTTGAACTAGAGCAATGCTACTCAACAGAACTGGAATTGGAATTGCAGAACAGAACTGCAGAAATGGAATTGTTCCCTCTCTGTGTGGTAAGTAGTAAGTAGCCACAAGCCACTCATAATTATTAAGCACTTTGAATATGAATAACTGAATTTTTAATTCTACTTAAATTAATAAATTTAAATGACCACAAGGTTCACCATATTGATCTAGAAATACAGTATAGATTTAGAAATAACAAAAAAAAAATTATTCTCAAAGCTGAGGAATAAAAATGTACATAATAGGATGGAAAGGGAAATGTCTTAAGATAATACAAAAAGACTCTCTTCACAAGCAGAAATACTAAATGTCAGTATCTAAAGTTATATTCATAAACAACTTCATAAGGATGAAAATATATCTGATTACTTCCAGAACTCTCTCTTATTCTATATATTTTGACTTATCATGTAATAAATCTAATTTAAAAGGAAATAAAGTCCTCAAGCATTACCCTCAAATTCTATACATATGACAGTTGGGCACTCCTGACCTGCAGAACTTAACTGGTCAGTTTGTTCTTAGAAATATAGGAAAAATAATTAAATGAAATTTCACTTGATAGACCAGAAAGGAAGATTTCTCAAATCCTAGAATCTACCATAAATCAAAAAATCAATACACTAGATCTAATTGTCTAAAAAACAAAATACATTTTAAACAAAGAAACAACCTACATGTTATGTTATAAAATAAATATTAGTATATACCTTTAGATGACCAAGATCCAAAAGAAGGAGATTTGATGTAGGGGTAAAAATTCCATTTTGTGGGATAATAACATATGAAGCCTTCAAATTAATCTTGAGATCAAGAACCTTTTGTGTTTCAATAATATACAGTAGACCTGCATAAAAGTTAAATCTTCACAATGAATAGTTTTCACAAATTAGTCAAGAAATAATCACTACTCATATGAATTGGTACCAATCTTAAAATTAGTATTTAAAAATTTGTTCAATATTAACTCAAAATGTGTGCTAGCAAATGTGTACACTCCTAATTAAATTAAGTAACAAAACTGTTGGGCCTCCCCTGTGGCGCAGCGGTTGAGTGCTGAGTTGCGAAGCTGCCCGCTGCCTCTGCAGCGCCGGTTCGATCCCCGGCTGCTCCCCGGCCACCAGAGGAGGGTCCCACATGGCGCCCAGACCTCTCCTGCCACCCGCTGCTCCCCTCAGCAGTGTACTTCGGTCCTTCTGCCTCCTCTGCTCCCCGCTCTGGCTCTGGTGAATTCTCTCACCCTCCCGCGCTTCTGACTCTAGTGCTTGTATAAATAAATCTTTAAAAAAATAAAAAAAAAAATAACAAAACTGTTATGATTTACAAATTTTTTAACCTATAAACTCAACTTGGATAAAACTGCAGATATACAGACCTAAAACAAATGGTATGAAGCATTTATTCATAGCAACAATATCATAATCTATATAATTCTTTCCAATTTATGAATTTAATATAGCTATATTTACCAACATTTGATATTACTCTAAGAAAAAATGTCTACTATTAAATCATCTTCAATAATGTAACCAGAAAATTATTAACACTACTTTCTTAAAGAGATCTTTCTCTGACAACACTACAAAAACTAAATAGGAGCCCCCATTATTCATTTTGTTTCACAGCATTTGGGAGTATTAGTTCATTTGTTTCCTTTATTAACTCCAAATTCACCCACGGACTGCTCTGTGAAAGTGGAGCTGAGTCCTTTAAATACTCATCCTTTGCAAACCACACTGAAGGAGATACATTACCCTGAGAGACACTGTAGGAAGAAAGGTTGCTCCCTGGTTTCAGGGTGCTCACTCAGCAATACCCAGCAGCAGAGTGGCTTTCCTCAAAATCAGGCTCATATCCGTGACAACAAATTTAAGCAGTTTTGCCAGTATGGCACTATAATGACTTTTCTGTCATTTAATGAGTTGGAACCATACCTTCCATAACAAGATATGGATCTCAATCTTGGGAGGAAAGGACTTCTTCCAGAAATTCTATGTCAGCCTTACAGTACTAGCAGCTCTTTACAGTTACTATACTGTTCAAAGTTACTTGTTGAAGTACTGAGCTAATCCCTCATTATCTGTTTAAATTACTGTATGTTTTCTCTGTCTTGATTGGATCCAAACAGTATTTGTCCCAACTTTTAAGCAGATAGATTTGTTTATTTTCATACATCTTTGCTAATTTTTGGCTAGTATTTGATTTCTCCCCTCAGGTGTAGTTCCCATGCTTCTCCCACCACCACAGCACCTGTGAGCCATCTCTACTGTCCCTTGTGCTCTTCCCACCCATTTCTACCCCTTGTGCTCTTTCCCCTTCCCTACTGTAAATGTGCCTCACATCGAACTATGTCTGTCCTCGCCATAAAAATAATAAGATCCATTAACAGATAGGAACACCAACTTTTTGATCACCTAGTACTACCCAACATAAATCAGGCTTTTGATAAATACTTAAATGAGTGAATAACAGCACTTAAAGAAAACTAATGACTATTATCCTATCTGAGAACCCTATCCTTAAAAAGAATTTTAATAAATGACTACATTTGACAAAGTAAGTTTTTGTGTTTTACAAATTGATGCCCCTAAACTTTCCCTAAAGAAAACTTCAAAACAGATCTGAAAACTCTGACTTCCTAGAAAAGATGAAGAAAATACAAGAAAGAAAAATTAGATTATAAAGGAGATAATAGGGTAATGTAGAAAAATAAAAAGGAAGGAAAGTAAGAACCAAAAACAGGTAAGAGCTAAATTGTTGTAGAAATAAATTCTGGCCTTTTACCCAGGCAGAGGAAGAACAAGCGGTACTTCAGGAATGGTGAGGTCAGGAGAAGCTTTATTGCATAATGTCCTAGACCTGGATAACCCTGTAAGGTCTGAGCACTGGTTTAATGACCAAGGATTCCTTTTATACACAACTGTCTCCATATCTGTTACACTGATAGCATCGTTTTTCAACCATTTGTGGCAAAGTCCCCAGACAAAGGGGGCAAGGCAAGGGAGGAAAGATACAGGCATTCGGGGATGGCCTTGGAGAGACAGACCAACTGGCTGGCTGCCCGACCTTGTAGATAAGAGTGCTCAGGTTCTGGCCATGAATCTTGAAAGGGAAGGAGCTGTAAGTAATCAAACTTATTAATTATGCCTGCATTGGAATGTTCATTGCACCTGGGCTAGAAGTTCTGCTGGAATCTTTATTATATTCATTTGCTCAATAATATATTTTTGCTTCAAAATAACAGATGACTCTCTTCCCAAATAGGTAAATTTTAACTTTTTGGGGAAATATTAAATACATTAATGATTTTTTAATTAAATTTTAAAATATAATAGCTTCCTATTTTTTCATAACAGCACTTTTTATTCTAAATCATATAAATGACACCTGTGTTAAGAAGAAAACAGATTAGACTTCGAATTATAAAGCTTGTTATCTCTAGAAGGTAAAATACTTCTACTTTCTGAAATATTCTCATAAAAACATCTAGACTTTTTATATTGTGGATATTTACTATTTTGATAATATTTACAATAAAAAAAATTTTTTTTAAAAATCTTAGGAGACAAAGTTCCTAAATCTGAATGCTTATTGTGGTTCTCCAAGACAATATATTTATACTTAACCATATATAAGCCAGGAAGAATCATTAACAGGAAAAGCTTGATATGTTTATCAATTCTGAGTATGTAACATACAAAAACACAAAATTTGAGCTATAAATGGAATTTGAGATTTTAACAGAGTGGAGGAGTAAATGTAAACCCCACAGCTCTGAGAGCTAGGGCAATTTCTACAATCTAATATAAAACATACTCATGTATAAAATGAGTAAAAACCACAGAATAAAGATATGCATGTTGACTATTATGATGCATACCATTCTCTGAAAAAGGAAAATGAACAATGCTTTCAAGATACATGATATAAAACAGAGAGATGATATAGCCTAACCAAGGGCATAAACTAGATTTTTTTTTTAATTTTTATTTTATATATTTTTACATCATTTTTCATTTTTGTACAATGTATGCATTTTCATCTTGGTTATCATCCCTGTAAAATTCCCACCCCCCTTGTTTTGAAACTACTCTCTTCACCCCACCCCCTCTCTGTAGTGTGTCTCTGGTTTATAATTGCTTGTTGATTTTGATTTTTACTTTATTATAACTAGCCTTTTTCCTGATCCCTTATTTAGGTTTTCTAAACAACTGCTATGAGTGAGACCATCCAGTATTTTTCTTTTTCTTTCTGACTTATTTTGCTGAGCATGATCGCTTCCAGCTCTGTCCGTGTTGCTGCAAATGGCATGAGTTTATCTTTTTTGATTGCTGAGTAATATTCCACTGTGTATATGTACCACATCCTCTTGATCCAGTCATCTGTTTTTGAGCATTTGGGTTGTTTCAATAGCTTAGCTATTGTAAATAGTGATGCTATAAACACAGGGGTGCAGGTGTCCTTTTGAATTAATGTTTTTGTGTCCTTTGGGTAAATACCTAGGAGTGGGATTGCTATCATATGGAAGCTCCATTTTTTAGCTAGATATTTCTTGATAGCCTTATCAAAACATAACTTGCTTGGCTAAAATGCTTTCTCATTACATAAGAAACAAAGGAGAATGACGAGTAATACAACTGACTTTTACCAACAAAGATAAAGTGAACATAATAGAAATTATTGGAAAAAAGTGACAATTTCATGTTAGATATTGTGATAGCCAAAATGAAACAAATTCTGCCTTCTATAAGAGGTGTATTCCAGGCTCAACAAAAATTGAATTCTAAAACCAAAACTATAGCAATAAAATTGGAAATGATTCCAATGCAAATTTCAGCCAAGAATTAAAAAGTCAAAAGTAGTTTTTATAGTGGCCTTTGTAATAATCTGATTTTAAGGACACATTTTCAAAGACAAATATGAAAGCTGGGTAAATCTGTAAGAATATAAGTAAGATTAAATGCTTAGCGTATACTGAGAAAAATACTGCTTTGAAGGGAAGTTTTAGTTATAGTCAGAGCAGAAAACCCTTATTATAAAAGCAGCAATGCATATTTTGTAGTGTATTAATAAATAAACGATTTGAAAGTAGAATAGCTTAGTTCCTGTCTTTTACCCATCTTGTCTATCAAAGATTAATTCAAACTAGAATTAGCAGGACATGTAAGAGAACTTAAAACTCTATCTGATCAGATCTTTATATAAGAGAGTACCTAGAGTCCAGCATATGACATCCCAGATACCTAAGATGGTGATATTAATCAATATTGGTGCTTTTCTAATTCTAATTTTAAAGAAATCACTGAGAAATACAGTCTCAGAAGAGAAAAAACTGAACAAATGTTATTTTCTTTAGAACAGTATCTATTTTTAACTAATCAGATGAATGCAGATTTTGAGAAAATTTTAATACATGCAAATTAATGCAGAAATAGGAGGTAAGTATTGATCACTAGAAGCTAGCAAATTTCATAAGAAAAAGGCATTCTAAAGTCACCAAATTTGTTTCGTTCTGGGTTGTTTTTTTTTTTTTCATTTTTCTAAACACAATTGATAAATTGAGGCTCTATTACAGGCATAGTATAAAATTATTCAGCAATATACTTAAAGCCTGCCTTTACATTCCTGAGGGAGATTTTGGAAATAAATTAGATCAAGCACCTTTAAGCAGGTATCTATGAGTGGAATACAAAGCAGGTTTCATGAACAATAATGAGCATTTTCTTCAATTAGAGTATAGACAACGGACTGCTACACTTGTGGTTTTGTTGTTTCATTTTTATTTCGTAACATGCTGTTAAAGATATACTGAGATATTATATGCACTTGCCAGTACTTCAAATTATGGTAGTTTTTAAAGGTGCTTTTCATCCTTGTTATTTTAACCAATAAAATAAGGAAAACATATTACTATCATAAATTTTAACTTTCAAAAATATTTTGAAACTGTTTTGGTAGTACTTATTTTCTTCGTAATCCTATACTTTTCTTTTTATATACTTAAAACCATTATTTTGAGAAGAGACCTAGGCTTCTTCTTTGACCCAAATGTCAAAGATGTACACAACACTAAGATGGAATCCCTGAGCAGTCAAAGGTGAGCTGATAATGAATAGCACCACCCAGGAAATGATATCCATTTATCCAAAGCCTCAAAGATAAGACTCAAATACACAGAAATAGAAAATGGAGTGATCCAACAGGATGAATAATGTCGAACTTAAACTAGAACACTGAGATAGATTTTCAAATCCTGTGAATATGAAAGAGTAGGTAGCTATATCTACTCTTCCACAAAAAGTTACCAAAAAATGCTGGCTATAAAACAAAAGAGAACTATTTAAAAAAAAAAAAACCTAATTAAAAGCACTGAGAGGAAGCAAGAGAGAATTTGTTAAGTCCAAAGCCTTCGAAATGAAGGAACAAGGAAACAGATTTAAGAGGAGCCTAGAAAACTTTTATCCTCAAATCATGTATGCACCTGGTAAATGTGGGAACTCCTTTTCATAACCTCACAGAGCACAGAAGACAAAGATGAGAAGCCTAAGGGAAATTCTCACAATTCTGGTATCCAAAAAACACACAAAGTAAGAATGACCCAGAAATTAAACCTTCCTCTACCCTAAAACCTATACACATGAGAATACAATGAAAGATTTTAAGGAAAATTGGCAGGAAAAGGTAGCATTCCTGTGCTTGTAACAACAATGCAGTACTCAAGTGGATTTGTAACACAAAATTTCCTTGCCATTCAAAATATCTCAAGTAACAATTTAGATAAATGATCCCATCAGCATGTCCAAGATACCTCGCAAAAGAAAATTAAATAAAAATCTTGTTTAAATGAAAGCTCCACTCTCCTAGACTTTAAAGAATTCTCAAAGTATTTTTCCCAGAAAAATCACTAAGCACAAAAAGAAAGACATTACTGTGAATAAGAACAAGCATAAGCAAAAAGAGAAGAGAAAGAAAATCGTTAAGTCTTCATATAATGGAACTATCTAAAGAATTTTCTAGTAGGGCAGAACATAACTATACTTATGATGTTTAAAGAAACAAAACCATTAGTTTTAAACAATATTAGTTTAAAGATATCATTGTAAACACAAAGATATCATTGTAAACTATAAAGAAACAAAACACATTCTAAATATAACAAAACAAAATTCCTAAAGTGAAAAATATGCTCATGGAACTTAAACTCAATAGAGATTTAATAGCATATTAGACATAGTTGAAAAGGAAACTCAGTAAATCACAATATAAAATAGTAGAAACTGGGTCTTCCCCGTGGCGCAGCAGTTGAGTGCCACGCTGCAAAGCTGTCCGCAGCCTCTGCAGCACCGGTCTGATTCCCCGCCAGCCAGGGAGAACCCCACATGGCACAGCAGACTTCTCCTGTCTTGCCCACTGCTCCCCTCAGCAGTGTCTTCCGTCCATCTATCTGCCTGTTCAGCTCCCTGCTCTAGCTCTGGTGAATTCTCTCACCCTCCCGCGCTTCTGACTGGTACCCAGTTCTTGTATAAAATAAATAAATAAATCTTTAAAAAAAATAAAATAGTAGAAACTACACAGGATGTTAACACAGTATAAATAGATGGAAATAAAACAGTTTACCGAAGATGAAAGATAAAGACTAAATACATTTTGTCAGAGTTCCAGAAGAATAAGAGAAAAAAATTTTCAAGAACTAATGGTTATAAATTTTCCAGATGGATTTTTCTAGAACTCATTAAATCTACAAATCCTCAGATTTATGTCTCACACAATGAACCTAAAAGTCCACAGTGGGGTACATCATACTGAAACTACAGAATATAAAAGATATAAAGAGCTTAAGTATAAAAGAAAAGGCACAGGTAAACTACCTAAAAGCAGCACGCACGGTGACACCTGAATTATCAGCATCAATAATGAAAGCCAAAAACAGCAGAATATGCACTGCAATGTACTTTGGGAAAAAATAACTGCCAACCTTTAATTCTGTATTTAAAATATTTTACCAAACTAAACAGAACAAAAAAATGTTTCAGATCAAAACAAAAAGTTTGCAATCAGCACACTTTCACTAAAGAAAACCTTTATAAATGAACTTCCAACAGAAAGGCAATAATCTCAGATAAAAGGTGTGAGGTGAAAACAGGAATAAAAAGTAATGAAAGTAGCTAATTAGTAGGCAATATGTTGACTACACACACAAAAAAAAAATCTTACGAAGTTAAAAACAGGAAAACAAAATTAACAATTATAGGTATAAATCAGGAGGATGGTAAATGAAGTTCAAGTGTTACAAATTCCTGGGAATGGCTGCAAGGTTAAGATTTGTTTCCATTAAATTTATATATTGATAAAAATGGATGCTGTAATTTTCCAGAGTAAAGAAAGAAATGTTTCAAATGGCAGAGTGTGGAAAGGGGGAAATGAGGAAAATAATGCTAGAGTTTATCCAGGGAAAGCAAGGGAAAAAAGGAAAAAAAACTGCAAATACAGATAGAAAAAAATCCTGTATGTTACTGGTGTGAAAACCTAAAAAATTAAAATACAGGGGAAAAGGAAAAAAATGAGAAAATATGCAAAAGAATGAAATTCTAGCCAAAAGAAACCTATACTATCCTTACTAACATCAGACCACAGATTTTCTTTTAAATACTATGAACTCCAAACAAATTAAAGCATTACTAAAAATAGAGTCAGAGTCAGTTTCATACAGATGGAAGATTTGGTTCACAGAAGATAAAATGACATCTATCAAAAAGTAAGAAAAAGCTACATTTACACTGAAGTATTTTTCATGTATTTCTCAGATGTGATATACATGGTAATTGTGATTTAAAGTACATTTACAGATATAAAAAATACATGCTTTTCAAATATTTGGAAAATACATGTGGAATATTTTCTATTACCATATACTGGGTCAGAAAGCAAGACTCATCAGGTTACAAACCACTAAAATTATACAAATCATCCTTCTAGTCGTCTATACATTTAAAAAATTAATCTGTAACTTAAAATTTTGCACCTAAAAATCTCCAAGCACAAATGGCTTTAATATTAAATTATGCAAAACATTAAAGAAAGAAGTTGATCCCATTGTGCATAAATTATCCAAGAGAATAAAAAAGGGCACTCGTTTTCCGAGAGCAATATATTAAAATCTAGAACTTGTTACAAGAAAGGAAAATGACAGGTGAGGTTCTGTCATGAATAGAATGCTACAACGCCTAATGAAATTTTGTCAGTTAACCTCAATTCAGTTAATGGGTTGCACCTTTATGAGTATGAAAAATGGTAATTATTAATCTGAATTTTAATATAAAAGTTTCAGTGAAATTGTCTATAGTCTACAAATATGAAGTATAATTTACTAAAATCAGTTTAACATGACTAAAATTTTAGTGTAAGATATAGTAACACCAGCAATAGTAATACCAGCATTTACCTGTTGCTGTTTTATCACGAAATTCTTCAAGTTTTGTCAACGTTGCTGAGGTGAGCTGTATTAGATGTACGTCTTTCGGAGGTCTGAAGAATTCCACTATACCATTCACTGTTTTCTATTAAAACAAGTTATCATTAACATGAGGCACAAACTTAAAAGCAAATTGAAATACATTAAAACTTAGGAATTGAAAATAAGCTTACTGCATCATATATCATTTCTAAAGGCTCAGCTTCTATGATACACCTTTGAGAAATAATTTCATTTAATGGATTTATTTCAAATATAATTTGGAAGAGCGATGTAGAATCATCTAGTGAAGACAGGAGGCGAGGTTTTTTTGAATTATCTGGTAAGCCGGTAACATAAAATGAATCTATTTTAGTTTCAAATCTGCAGAAAAAAAGGTCAAAGATTAGCAATCAGTACAATTTTAAAGTTTTTTTAATTGAAAATAAAAATTAGTAAAAATAATTTCACTTTGCATTTCCTATTACTCTATTCCAGTCACATAAATGAAAATATACAACTATTCAATCAATTTGACATAGATTATTTCACAAGGAGCCCTATTACATGTTGGCTTCTAAATGGAAAGGCTATGATAGATTAGGGATTTCCATTCCCAAACGATGGTGTTTGAAAGACATCATTCCATGATCACAATAAATAAAAATCTTAACAAACTGAAAAAATCAACAACTCTTCCTGGCATCTTAAGAGAGGGAAGAACATAGGGCAACCAATTGCACCCAAAACTGAAAAGAAAGACAAGTGAATGCAGAGAGTCTACCAGAGTAGACTCTCAAAAGTAAAGGATAAGGATACCAGTGTTGGAGTTGGAAAACTGGACTGTAATTGATGACTGGATGGAGACTCAGTGTGGAAAATTTAAAGTCAAAAACTCAAGGTGAATCAGACACAAAGAAGTCCCCACAATATTTGGAGATACACCCTAGGAATTTGACCAGATTCTCACAGTAAATAAGAAAAATCCCCTCTTGCTTCAGGCAAGAGAAAAGGGGAACCGTTTAAAAGTGTAACAGGGCACTCATTCAGTTCTTAACAAGGCCTGTCCTCTGGAGAAAGTAGGCAACCGAACCTAACCTAATGAAATTATTATCAGAACCTAAGTGATCTACGAAATAGAAAAACCCAACTCCAGTCAGGTTCACCACTTCATAAGGAGAACGCTGGCCCATTCAAGCCATCCTGTTGCATTTAAGGGATGGGAAAAAACAGCCATTCTTGTGAAGTTCACTATCCAAAAGCACAAACTCACTAAAAGGACTCCAGAATGCTTCCCCTTCCCTCATATCTTACACTCAAATTACTGAAAAATAATACAGTAATTTCTTTTACTTGAAACACCATACTTAGATATTAAGAAAAAAATAACATGGCATACCAAAAGGCAAAAAACAATTTGAAGAGAAAAGGAATCAGAACCAGACATAACAGGGTTGCTACAATTACATATCCAGGAATTTAAAATGACATTAACATGGGCCTCCCCGGTGGCGCAGCGTTTGAGCGCTGGGTTGCGAAGCTGCCTGTGGCCTCTGCGGCGCCAGTTTGATCCCCGGCTGCTCCCCGGCCACCAGAGGAGGGTACCACATGGCGCGCAGACCTCTCCTGCCGCCCTCTGCTCCCCTCAGCAGTGTACTTCGGTCCTTCTGCCTGCTCTGCTCCCCGCTCTGGCTCTAGTGAATTCTCACCCTCCCGTGCTTCTGACTGTCTCCAGTGCATGTATAAACAAAACAAACAAACAAATAAAACATGCCTCTATAAAAAAAAATTAAAAAAAAAACCTAAAAAAAAAAATGACATTAACATGTTAAAGATTCTAATGAATAAAGCAGACAGCATACAAGAAAAGATGAACACTGTAAGCAGAGGGAGATGGAAAGAACCACAAAAACAAAAATTAAATGTTCAAAATAAAAAATGCTGTCATAGAAATGAAGAATGACTCTAACAGGCTTATTGGGAGACTGGACACCACTGAGAAAATAAACTCCGAACTAGATGACATATCATTAGAATCATAAAAACACAGAAAACAGAAGACAGAAAAAAAATAAAGGAAATATCCAAGCAACATGGTACAGCTACAACAGGTACACTATGTGTCTCATGAGGATGGCAGAAAAAGAGGGAAAGTAACAGAAGAAATATTTGAAGCAATGAAAGCAGAGAAATTTTTCCCAAATGAATGTTCTGACACTAAATTACAGAACCAGGAAGGAAGCTCAGAGTACACTAAGTAGAATAAATGCCAGAGAGAGAGAGAGTGAGAGAGACATATTTTAAAACTGCAGAAAATGAAACAAACAAAAAAAAAAAACCTGAAAGCAGCTACAGGGGAAATATTTTACCTATATAGGAGCAAAGATAAGAGTTAAAAACTGACTTCTCAGGAACCGTGTAAACACAGAGAAAAATTCAATGCCTAAGAGAAAAATTCATCAATATAGAATTCTATACACTGTGAAATTGTCCAGTAAAAGTGAAAAAAGAAAATAAACCTTCTCAAACAGAAACTGAGGGAATTTTTCTGCCAGTAGTTCTTTAGAGAGGAGAAAATAATCTAAGCCAGAGGGCCTCCCCTGCTGGCGCAGGCAGTTAAGCGCAGTGCTGTGAAGCTATCCACAGCTTCTACAGCACGGTTCGATTCCCGGCCTGCCAGGGAGCAACCAACATGGCGCGGCAGACCTCTCCTGTCTCGCCCGCTGCTCCCTGCAGCAGTGTATTTCGTCATTCTGCCTGTTCTGTTCCCTGCTCTGTCTCTGGTGAATTTTCTCACCCTCCTGCGCATCTCGGCTGTACCCTGGTTCTTGCATAAATAAATAAATAAATCTTAAAAAAAAAAAATCTAAGTCAGAAATCACATCTACATAAAGAAAAGCAGTGAAGAAGGGAAAAATGAAAACTTATTTCTGGTATGAACTGAGAGAATAGTATTTTAAAATAACAGTAACAGTGTATTTGATTATCTGCTTATAAAATTTATGTATATGCTTTTATATGTATATGTGTATTTGCGTATGTATGTGAAATGATTAACAGCAATGATACAAGAGAAAAGAGAAAGAAATTAGGATATTTTTGCTATTATTAGGGACTCATACTTCTCATGAAGTGGCAGAGTTTTATTTGAAAGTGATCATGGATCAGTTGTAAATGTATATGGAATGTAATTATTGAATGAGTATAAGATTTCACTTCATAGGTAATATAATGTTTTGACCATGTAAAGGTATTACATGTATAATAAGAATATTCTAAATACCAGTGAACTGTGCTCTCTAGAATGGTTAATTTTATATTATGTGAATTTCACAGTGATTTAAGAAAAATCACATTTAAAAAAGTCATTTGATTAGTAAATGCTACATTATATTTTTAAAAATCTCAAATCACTTTCTACTTAAAGACACTTAAACATAAAAGAAAACAAAACCAAAGCAATTAGCTCAAGGAAAATCAGAGAAAATAGGAAGCATTAGAGTAAGTTAATGAAACAAATAAAAAATACAGACAAGCCAAAACTGTTTTAAATACAAAAAAATTAAACTGAGAAATACATGAAATACTCAAATTACTAAAATTTGGAATGAAAGAGAACATTACCATCAAATTACTAAAACTGGGAACGAAAGAGAACATCACTATTAACCTCACAAAAAGAGGAAGAGAGTATATAAATACTATGAACATCTACATGCCAACAAACCAGATAACTTAGATAAAATGGGAAAAGAATGTACAACCATGCAGTAGCTTTGGAAAAATGCTTTTGGCAATTATTCAAAAAAATTCACCTATAAAGTTATCATCTAAGATAACAATTCCATTCTTACTTATATACCCAACGAACATTTAAAATGTACTGTCCACATAATATAGTGTCCATGAATATTCATAGCAGTTTTATTCCAGTAGCCAAAAACTGGTAACAAAGCAAATAGCCATCATTTGGTGAATGGACAAACAAAAGATAGTATATTGCCACACAATGGAATATAATTAGGCAAAAATAAGCAACATACTAATTCATGCTTTACCACGGATGAATAGTGAAAGAAGCCTAACAGAAAAGGTCATAAATATTTTATATATACATATTTATCTTCTCTGAGTCCATTCATAATAATGTCCAAAACAGACAAATTCTTAGAAAGAGTAAATTGTTACCAGACACTGGGAAGAGGCAGGAATGGGGAGTGACTGCTAATGAGTACAGGGTTCTTTTATGGGGTATTAAAATGTGGTGACTGTTGTAAAACTCTGAAATATACTAACATGAATTTGGTGAACATAGTGTGACAAATTGACACTTTAATTCAATTAAATTGGAAGAATGTATAGTGATTATGATAGTTTTTTTTTAACAAAGATAAACTAATGATGTTCCCACATAAAAATGAAATTTTTTTTGGAATTTTTTTAAAATTTTTTGTTTTTTAAACAATATTTGCTTTCCCCCACCCCCTCAGGTTGAGTCCCCATAGAATTTCCTTCCCCAAGGCACCCATGCACCATCACCACAGTCTCCTGTTCTCCTCCCTCCCTCCCTCTGATCCCTCTCACCCCTCCTCCCCTGCAGAAAACTCAAATTTTTAATGCTGTTTTAGTGTGATGTGACTGCTGACATTTTTGTCTAACACTTTGTGTGTAAGTTTCCTTACCATGCAGTTTTCCATTAAATATGTATTATTATACTAGTTGTAAAATGTATTAATGGAAAAAAAAACCCCAAGTTCCTTAAAATACAAAAATACACATTCTAAAATACTATAAAATTATAAATCTGACTTGTAGAAATAAAGAAAATACTCACTTAATTGCTTGTGCTCCTGGTCTTTGTACAATCCAAGTGCTAAATTCTTCTACTACAATATCTAACAGCTCACGTTTTTCTTCTCTTAGAACAATAGACATACTTTTCAAGTGCACAAAAAACTTCATAGCTTCAAACTAAAGTATATTCAGAAGAACAAAATGAATATATATAAATGTAACAATACTCTTATTCATAGTTTTTCCTCCCTCTACGCCAGAAAATACTTTAAAAACAACACTTTAAATAACTGCCATGCAACAGTAAAAGGTAGGGGGCAAGTTTTATCACTACCGTGGAAATTAAATACAGTATTTACAACCCAGGAAAAAATCACAGAACAAGTCTAATAGCACATTATTTCTGAGGTGATACCAAACAAACTCAAAGGTGTATGGCAAGAAAACACCTTACTGTTTTTGGCAAGGTTGGATCCACTGCAGTTTCACTATAGCCAATTGCTTCATAGAGTAAACTCTTTTCTTCAGATGTCAAAATGTCTTCAAGTGAAGCTTGAATTTAGAAAATAAAGTTTGGATGATAACAAGATAAAACCAAATCATAACTTCAATGCCTTTAACAAATCAAATGTAAATTATTTTATACTACTTTTAAAAAATATATTTATTTATGCATACAAGAACTGAGGTGTAAGCCAGAAGTGTGGGGGTCGGAGAGGGGGATTAGAAGATTCACCAGAGAGAGTAGGAGCAGAACAGGCAGATCTACTGAAATATACTGCTGAGGGGAGCAGTGGGCGAGACAGGGGAGGTCTGCTGCACCATATGGGTTTCTCCCTAGCTGGCTGGGATTGAACTCGTGCTGCAGTGGCTGTCGATAGCTTGATAGTGCTTTCTTTAACCCCTGCACCACCAGGGAGGCCCTTATACTACTTTTAAGAAATTGTAATCACTTAATGTTTGATAGCAATTTAAGAATTAGTCTCCAAAAATATAAATTGTTAATATTTAAATTTAGGTATTTTTATTGAGCAAGCACTCAGAAAATGATTAACTATTAGACAACAGCATTGGGCTAGGCAATACACTTAGCATACAATGCTGGTAGTTATTATTCCTCCCATTTTACAAATGATGATACTGCTGGACTTACATCTAAAAGTCACTAATCCTCCAAAACTATAATCTTAAGCATCCGATTAGGAAATAAAAGCTTCCCAAGAAATAATGTCAACAAAAATTTATAACACATTATATATCTTTTTGGAATTTATATTTATCTATTATTGTGTTATATGCATTTATTAAATCCTCTGGAGATGAAAGTTCTTTTGCACACATAAGATTAAAATTTTATATTATTTTTGACATATATTTGAATTAGAAAAAATTTTCTGCAATACTTTTCAGATCTGATGATTTGTTATATTGCCATATCCTGATGATTAATTGTACTACTATAAAAATGGACATACTTCCAGATTCAGTAACAGGTAGTCCTTTACTTTTTGGTTCTGACCAATTCCACAGCCAGTGAAACCATCCTTTATCATCCTCTGCCTCTTCTGTTCCTTCTTTGTAAATCTTGTGTCCAGCTTTCTTTACCTGAAATGAGTAAGTTTTCAATCTAAAAAACAGAAGCATATTTCCAAAACTTATCTAATTAAGTGAAAAAATATACCCAATAAACAGTGACAACAGTACATAATAATTTCAATATTAGCCAACATAAAAATTTAGCATTTCAAGGTAGTTAGTACCAGTATTTCAGGTGATGATAATCACCAAAAAAAAAAAAATCAAGTTTTTCCTCTTTATATGAACTCTGAGTAGCTGGTAAGCCTAAATATTTAGAATTCTTTTTTTCATGAAACCTAGATGTGGCAAATGGATGTGGCCAAAGATTGTCTAATTTTCTTATAAGACAACAAAATAAATCTGAGCCCCTTTTGTAGCAAACAGATTATTACTGCACAATGCTAATCACAGCACAGCATCTGTCAAACTTATGTGGAATGTACATGTATTTTTACTAATTTAAAGATATTCTGGAATTACCTCAACTTCTGCTTGTTGTCTTGCTATAGTTATATTAAATACATCCAGGGATTTTTCCAACTCCTAAAAAATATAAACAAAAATTTGTTAACATTTCATAAACAATTTGAATATATAATCTCTCAAATTGCTGCACTAAAGAAAAGATATAAGAAACAGAAAATAGAACATCCATCAACAAAATATGCCTGTTAAATTCTGAAAAATAATGTTTGTACACATGTGAGCTAGGCAACGTGTACCTAGCAGTGATGAAGTAACTTTTTAAAGAAATCAAACATTACATGCATGAATTACAAGCCTACAGGATTTACAGATACATATACAAGATACTAAACATGCAGTGTTTGAAATGATTTTTGTGTTTTAATTACAGTTAAATACACTAGTGACACTTCAAACTAAAATACAATATAAATTCCTCACATTATGTGCACTCTACATATTGCAACAGGGTGGTCCCCAGGAAAGGGGGAGGTTCCCGTGGGGCAGGGAACCTCCCCCTTTCCTGGGGACCACCCTGTTGCAATATGTCATCATTAAGACAGTCCAATGTAGATCTAGATGAACTTAAAATCTGCTTTTAAACTTCACACTATTCAAAGTACGCTTGATTCTTGAAATAAATTGAGATAAGCTAAATCTTCCATTATATCTATATACTGTTTCCATGACTACTTTTGAGACTTCTGTGCTCAAATCGCCATTTCCCCAAAAGAGAAGCAACCATAACCTACTAGTATTTAGAAAACAATTTAATTCGGGTTTATACTGTCAGAGCTGACTTGGAGGATTTAGGTTAAGATCTAAAACCAAGTAAACAATCTGTAACCACTCCAAAAGACCACTAAATACAAACTTCCTAATAGCCTAGGTCTTCTGAAATGTCTCCTACCACAAAAATAAAAATAAAACTCAACCATTAGAGGGGCTTCCTAATTGGAAATTAGCCTGGACAGTGTGAGCAGTTATTACAAAGGTTATTTCCCTTTGTCTCCCTAAGCTATGCCTTCATCCATTTGTAAAATACTGACTTCTAGAGTATACCGTAATGCTAAAAGATAAAACTAATATTTATAGAATCACAAGACAGATGAACTCAAAATAGAGTTACTAGTAAAGACTAGGTATGTGAGAAGAATTAAGAGAAAAGGATCTCTGTATGGGCAGAAAAATAGTGAAGTTCCCGTAAGAGATGGAACTTAAGTAGAACTTGGTGCATTAGTAAAGTAGGCTAGGCAGAGCTGAGGAAAAGCAGATGCAATACATGTGCACAGATTTGTCTATCAGCATAAGAATCATACATACAGAAGACAAGGAATATGATTAATGCACACCTAAATGGTGACACAGGGAAAAGGCAGTGGTGACACAACCTAACAGCTTGAAACTACACAAAGAAGACTGAATTCAATGTAGCAAATATATCTCAGGTTTTTGAGTCTAAAAATGTCATAATATGGGGCTTCAAATTATTATATACATGAACTCAAATCTCTCCAGATTGAGAAGTTTCAAATCCCAAAAGCTCACATGTGAATATCACCAGAACACTGACCATCCAGCTGAAGTTAAGAACAGAAATACAAAAACAGTCAGTCAAAAAATAGTCAAAATTAGAACAAATGGCACCAGAAGAAAAAAAAAAATTAGAATAAGTAGGAATTGTTAATCACTAAAAAAAACTCAAGAGTTATAATAGCACAAAATACTAGTTTTTAAAAATACTAACCTCAGAAGTATGGAGCAGTTCAACAGATGGCTTCTTAGTTGTTAGTTTTTGTTTGTACAGTTCTTTATATTGCTTCATTTTTTGCCTATGTGCATTAATATGCTCCCATGACCACATTCGTAAGCGGGGGACAACAATTACTTCAAGGATACCAGATATAGCATAAGCCCACCTAATTAAAAAAAAAAACCCACAAAACTATATACTTAGCAGTGTCAAGCCAACAGTATGAAATATACTTGATATTATTTTTATTCCAAAAACATATTTACTATAATTGTCTATGAAATGGTATATTATGTGAGCATATGCTTTTTCAACAGTCCTATCTATATTAATGATACATTATTTTATTGTTCTTAAGAGAAAATAGATCAAAATCATTGATTCTTGCAATAACATAGCTCAACAGAAAAACTATCAGAGTATAAATTGCCAAACAGTACTTTAGTCTCCTGAATATTAATAGTCAAAGAGTTGTAGAGATTAGATAAGAGCTTAGTAACTAGAATAACAAAACTTGTGAATATAAAAAGGCATTATGTTTTATAGACACCCAAAACATTTTTAGGTTTTAGAATGTAAGTTTGGTAATGTAAGTTTAATGTGTCCAATATAGAAGTTTGAAAATTTTTCAAAGTACATAGCTGGACAACATTCATATACTTTTTAAATAATTCCAAAAATACAGTAAATTAATGGCATTCTAGTATTAGTAGCTGTTAATTCCATTATAAAGAATCCTACAAGTCAACTAACATAATGAGTATGAATGCAACATAAGTTTCTAACCACAAATCAAACTACATTTTGCAGCAGTCCTTAAAAAGAGTATCTTAAAAAATTACTCAAGTCAAGAAATTTCTTTTTGTTCTGCATTTTTTAAATCTTTAAAAAAAAAAAAAAGACATTTTACCATTCTCTGGCATGGTAGTGAAGAGGTACATCAGGTCTATATTTTCTATATGGCAAATTCTGTGTCATCATCTCAACTGATTCAAGAAGCTCCATAACACTGAAATACTGAAGAATGAGAAAATTAAGGCTCTTAAGTGTTTGATTTTTTTTTTCACCAATTGTTGAAGATAAAAGCTAAATTATTAACATTTTTAAGGAAGCATTACCATATAATATTGTGAATTTTTATTTAAAGACTTATTTATTTGTGCATATACGAGCTGGGGTGCAAGCTAGAGGTGCAGGGGGTGAGAGAATTCACCAGAGACAGAGTGGAGTGCAGAACAGGTGGACTGACTGAAATACACTGCTGAGGGGAGCAGCGAGCAAGACAGGAGAGGTCTGCTGCCATGTGGGTAGTTCCCTAGCTGGGGATGGAACACATGCTGCAGAGGCTGCAGATAGCTTCACAGTACTGCGCTTAACCCCGTGTGCCACCAAGGAGGCCCAACATAGTGAATTTTTGAAGAATATTTAAAGTCTTAGTTCTGCTTTTATCAAACTATAACTCACATTTTAAATTTTCAATGAAAAACTCACCTGTAGTTTATTAAATTGAATTGATATGTCATGTAATTCAACTTCCAGGTTTATCTTGGGGGCAGAAAAGTCAAAATCTGATCCGCGATTCATCTGAAGTTTGGCATTAGCAGATATGGGATGAAATACTGGAAAATAATCCAAATTTTAAAATATTGAGTTACATTTCAAGAATATCAAAGTACTGAAGAGATCCTGAAAATTCTTTCAACAGGTCCTATATTTCTACAATGTTGTAATTTGGTCAAATGAACTATCAATTTATTAGTGGAGGAGATTCTTCCATCTTTTCCCTACCTATAATTCACATTGTCTTAGAGGAACAGAGACTAATTGAACGTCCTGTCAGAACACCAATATAACCCTTAAAAGTAGGTACATTAAAAAAAAAAAGTTCAGGCCAGCACCAGTGGAGGTCCGGCAAAGACAAGAACCCATGGTAGCAGCAAGCAGACAGTCCAGGGAGCAGAGCAGGAAGTAGAGGCAGCACCAGTGGAGACTCTGGAAGGCAGATACCTCAAACGCAAGTAATGGGGGAGAAAAACAAACACTATAAAGCAGCAACAGGAGTTATCAGGGGAATACTACACCACACAAAGAACAAATCTCCAGAACCCAATCACAAAAATGTGGAACATCTATTCTTATCAGATACAAGAGTTCAAAATTTCTGTGATAAAGAAATGAATGTACTGAGAAATAAAATCAACAGAAGATTGAACCTTTAAATAAGAAAATAATAGAGATGCTTGACATAGAAAAATTAATACAAGAGATGAAAAATTCTGCATAAAGTTATGGAACTGGATAGACCAAATGAAAGATCAATTAGTGACCTTGAAGATGTGAATGCACAAAGAATGTGGATAGAAGAAAGAGTAAAAAACACTTTGAGAATAAACCTTTACATTAGGAAAGGCAAATAAAAATAGGTATCCAAGAGGCATGAGAGAGAGAGAGAGAGATAGAGAGAGAAGGAACAGAGTACGAATTTAAAGAAATAGCACAGAAAAACTTTCCAAACCTGGAGAAGCAATGAAATATATGAATTCAGGAAGATAAAAGAACACAGTACCTAAGCAAAATGAGACCTACAGACACATAGTAGTGAAAATTTCTAGAATTTAAGACAAAAGAATAATTTTAAAGCTGGCAAAGAAGGAGGAGCAGATAACACATAAAGGAACTCCTATCAGGGTTACATTGGACTTCTCTGAGGAAACACTATGGGCAAGGTGACAATGGAATGTGATCAGAATTCTTAAGGTTAAAACTGCAGGAAAGAAAAGTCTAACCTGCAAGGCATTCTACTTCAGGTATGAGGAAGAAACTAAGGCCTTCTCAGACAAAGAGAAACTGAAAGTTTTCAAACACTGACCTTCCTCCAAGAAATAGTGAAAGGAACTCTTGTATATAGGTCAAAGAGAGGGACGTAAACAAATAACTGAAGAAAACAGATGCAGCACAAAATTAAGGACAAAATGGCAGTAATAGGCTTTTATATATTAATAATTATAAATGGACTGAACTCACATATTAAGAGACACAAAGTATCAGGTTGGTTAGGAAACTTTCTGCTGTCTCCAGAAAATGTACCTCAGCTCCAAAGATGAACACAAACTCATTAACACAGACTCAGAGTAAGGGGATGGGAAATAATCCTACAAGCAAATGGAACCCAAAGGAACACAGGAACAGCCATACTTACATAAAATGAAATGGACTGCCAGTTTAAAAAGATAACAAGAGACAAGGATAAACACTATGAAATAACTAAAGAAATAATATATTAAGAAGACAGAACTCTCATCATTTTATACTCACCAAAGGAGCATCAAAATATATTAGGCAATTACTATCAATTCTGAAAATACATGTCGAAAAAAAAACACATTTATGGTTAGAGATTTCAACACCTCACTCTCACCAATGAGCAGGTAACTAGACGGAAAATAAACAGTGACACAGTGGTCTTAAACAAAGACTTAGAGAATATGGACTAACAGACACTTACAGGGCACCCCCAAAAAACTGAATATAAATTCTTATGTGGACAAAGAACATTCTTCAATATTATCCACATGTTGGGCCACAAGACAAGTATCAACAAATTCATAAAGACTAAAATCATACCAGGCATCTTCTCTGACTTTAAGGTATCAAGCCACAAATGAACAACAAAAAAGCAAGATGTAGAAACAACACCACACTACCGTGAGACTACTCACATAAGTGCCCCAAAACAGAAGAGTGGATCAAGATGTCTGGGGGGGGGGGGGGGACTGGAATGTTAATTGGTAATCAAAAAGATAAACACATGCCATGTGTTGCAACATGGATGGAAATGGAAGGGATTATGCTAAGTGAAGTCGGAGGAGAGATAAATACCAGATGGTATCACATATGTATGGAATATAGAGAAACCAAATCAGAAAAAGTATAAAACCAATCAGAAAAAGTACAAAATGGTACTAATATTTGAAAAACAAAATTATTCCTCTTCCCCAACTGTAAGTGAAATATAAGAAAATACCAACCACTATTGTAATCATCTATCAATTCCTGAAGTGTACCCTCTTCTGTCAGATTTTTGCTCCTAGAAACTCTAAACTGTGAGTGATTTCACTATCTTTCCAAAACCATGGCCTCTCAGCTCCTGAATTCCTCCATCTTACTTACCTCCTAGACTAGACTATCATACCAATGACTGCCCCTCATTAAACTCTGTCTCAAGCATCCAACTCTTCTACCACTACCAATGCTCTATCTACTATCCCAATACCAACTTCTAAGTACAATGAGACCCACACATCATTGATTCTCTAACTTTGCTCTTTCACTTTTTTTTTTTTAAAGATTTATTTATTTATTTATACAAGCACTGGGTACAGTCAGAAGCGCGGGAGGGTGAGAGAATTCACCAGAGCCAGAGCGGGGAGCGGAGCAGAGCAGGCAGAAGGACCAAAGTACACTGCTGAGGGGAGCAGCGGGCGGCGGGAGAGGTCTGCGCGCCATGTGGGACCCTCCTCCGGTGGCCAGGGAGCAGCCGGGGAGCAGCCGGGAATCGAACCGGCACTGCAGAGGCCGCAGGCAGCTTCGCAACCCAGCGCTCAACCGCTGCACCACCACCAGGGAGGCCCCCCCTATATTTATTGCAGCACTATTTATAATAGGTAAGATATGGAAACAACCCAAATGCCCAAAAATAGATGACTGGATCAAAAAGATGTGGTACATATGCACAATGGAATATTATTCAGCAAAAAAAAAAAAAAAAAAGAGAGAGAGTGAGAGAGGGATAATCTAATGTCATTCGCAGCAACATGGATGAAGCTACAAGAGATTATGCTCAGTGAAATAAGTCAAAAGGAAGAAGAAAAAAATATTGGATCGTTTCAATTAGAGGAGGAATATAGGGGAACAAAATGAGGATCAGGGAAAAAATAACAACAATCTAAGAAAAACACTTCAAAACTAAACAAAAATGATCAGACAACTATAAAATAGAGATACTCTGTAGGGAAGGGGAGAGGGATCAAAACAAGGATTTGAAGAGCACAAGAGATTAAGGTGATGGTGCACAGATGAATTGGTGATGGTAATTTTATAGGGACTACACCTGATGTAAAATATATACAAATAAAGAAATTAGTTTAAAAATAAAAAAATAATAATAAAGTTGCTGAGCAATCACACAATATTCTTTTAGTCCAAGGACAGACAAAATCATACCACAGGCTGTATTTGTACAAGCAGTAAACTAGGAATGATTTTTACATTTTTAAAGAGTTGGAAACAGAAAAAATATATATGATAGACTATTTAGGGCCTACAAAATGTATATACTTAATTTATAATGTGGACCTTAAAAAAAAAAAATGGAACCCTTTACTCTAACCCTCTAATTTTAGTATTCATTAGACTCAGTTAAAGTTCTGTTAAAACAGATTGCTAAGCTTCACTCTCAGAGGTTCTGATTCTGCATGTCTGCACCCTAGAATTTGTATTTTTACCAAGTTTCCAAGTGGCAGTAATGTTGCTAGTCTGAACCACACTTTGAAAATACTCCTCTCTAAGTTAATTCATTCTTCTCTTTCCCCTAAATGATTATATGATAGTCTCTGCTCCCTCAAAAACACCTCAGAGTTAAAATTAAAAAAAAAAAAACTCAGAAGAGAAATTCCATAAACTTCTATCACCATCTCTATTTCTCAACCAATATTAGCACTCTCCTAACAGAAATCTGTACTGTAAATGAATGGACCAGACTCCTATCTGTGGCAAAGCATTCTACTTGTGCACTACATCCCACCTCCTTTCACCCATACCAATCCAGAAATTATTCCTTCTCTCTCTTGCTTCATTGCTTCATTTAATTATCATTCTACTGGATCACTCCCATCTTAGCCAATAAAACAAGCTATTCTCTCTCCAAAAAAAAAAAAAAAAAAAACCAAAATACTAAAAGAAACACCCTTTCCCATAGGTTACCAATAATCAATTTATTGCCTAGGAGTTCCAAACTCCCCCTGTATTGTCTGCTCTAAAAATTCATTTTCAGTCTTTTAAATCACTTTTTGTCAGCTGTGTAATGTCAATCTTTCTCAGTAGAGGACCAGAAAAACACTGCAGGAAGAAGAGATAATGCCTCCTGGTTCTAACATGCTCATTCAACAGGTTCCAACTCCAGCATAGCTTCTCTGACACCCAACTCCTACTGGGTGGTTTCTACAGAAGGGGGCTTCTCCAATGTCTTATCTCCTGCATCCTGAAGAATATCTTCAGCATCAGCCTCCAGTGGTGCACAGTAACTAGCAGCAATCAGTAACTAGCAAATTCCTCCAGAACCCTGCTACGGTAGTTTTGTAGTGGAGTGTCTCCATGAAGCAATTTTCCATGAGGTTCTCTAAAAGGTTCATAAGGGTGAATTCCAGCAATTTTTACTGGTATGGCACTACAGAGATTTTCCTGCCAATCCGTGAGCCAACACCCAGAGCTAGATTCCAATGCCAAAAGAATAATACCTTCTTTGGCCATTCCATCTTGGCCCTCGGATAAGGGCTAGTCATTCTCTCTACAGTTGCTATATTGTTTAGAGTTCATTTTTATTAGCCAATCCCTTATAGTTAATAATTATATGAAATGTTCTCCCTTCAAATTAGGTATGCTTTCTCTCTACTCATGGAACCCTGACTGACACAGCAGGCAATGACAATAGGGCAAAAGAAAAATACATCAAATGTAAAGTGATTTTTTGCGAATCATCAATAAAAAAATATGATAGACATTCATCTGTCATAGTATTTCTTCCGGGGGGGGAAATCAAGAAAACAAAACCAATTAAAAACTATGAAAATAGTATTTCAAAAGGAGCCAAGAATCATCACTTCAAGAATTAATGAAGAACAATCTCAGAGGAAGAATACAGAAAAAAGATCACTGAAGCCAAGAAAAATATTTCATGAAGAATATTCTATTGTTAAAGACATCAGGCAACCAAATCCAAGAACAAAGTTATCTACAACCAAATATTTATTAAGTACCTTCAGGGTAGAATAAACCATACTCCTTTTCTCTATATATTTTGTAACTCATTTCTAATTATAATAGTACCACATATTTATTTCATGAAATTAAAAATCAGAAGGTAGAAAAACTATTTTAAATGCACTTTATATTTAAAAACAGTAATATTACACTATAGACAGCAGCAGCTAGTCTTATTAGCTAGTATTATTAAATTTTATTTGCCATTTAAAAATGTCTCTAAAAAACACTGTAATTGATATTGAATACTCCTTAGAAATATATCATTTTATTAATATCCTCTTATTATTTTTCTCTTAGTTTTGAAATACAGCCAAATGTTCCCATTTAATGCATGATACAGAAAAGATAAGTATTTTGATTGTACATATACATCAAGAATATAATTATGAGCAAATTAAAATGTCATAGCAATATCAATAATGTTAATTGAAAATTTGTACTGATTAATCGCACTTTTTAGTCTATGAAATGTACTTACCAAAATCATACCCTTCTGGAACAATGCCTTTATAGACAATACCATTCTTCAAGCTGTCCTATTATGAGACAAATTGCTTTTATTTGTATTCATACCAGTATTCCTTTATCCATACAACCCTATCACATGCAAATGAAAAATGTTTAAAAAGCAATTTAGGAAGATAAATTAAACAGGAGGAATTATCTGTGGAAAATATTAAAGTCTTAGACAATATCTCATTAAACTATTAGTATAAAAAACTCTAGGAACTATTAGGATATATACTTATGTTTAAACATGCTTGTGTACAAGCATAAATTTATTCATCTATTTCTGTAAATTCTGCTGAAGGAGTTGACTAGAAAAAAGCCCCATGACTACAGTATGCTAGATAAATGAAAAATAAAATGCTATGTGAAATATACCTAAATGTATATATACATGCATCAAAAAAATTCACTTACCAGTGACTCTTCATAATCATCAAGATAGAACATCTGCGATTTCACATTCCAATAGGCAAAAAGGTTATCCAATCGAATTAACTGAAAATAAATAAAGCTTATTATGGTTTCATTTTCAATGAAGGATCTTAAATATACACTATTTTCAGAAGTTTTAAATAACTGAGTGATTTAACAGTTAAGCAAATAAACACAATTCACAAAAATCCTTAATTTTGTTGACCCTTCAAAAGCACTGGATTAAATGTACCAGCCCCCACATGGTAGAAATCCTGTATATAACTTTTGACTCCAAAAATTTAACTACTAACAGTCTACTGCTGACTAACATCCCTACTGACAGCATAGTCAATTAACAAATATTTTGTAAATTATATTTATTGTACACTACAGTCTTACAGTTAGTAGGCTAGAGAAAAGAAAATGTTATTACAAAAATCATAAGAAAAAAACATATTTAACATATTTATTCAAACAAATTTTATAAGTGGACTTGTGGCAGTTCAGATCTACGTTGTCTGCAGGTAAAACTTATTAACATTTGCCTCTCTAAAAGTCTCTGTCACATCCATAATTAATTATATTTTACCTTATGAAATAATTTCTCAGTGTCATCATGAAAAGATGGAACCCAATATGCGTCAGTTGTCTGAAAAAGGAAAAAGCAGTAAAAATTTCTTGTACATGTGAAATGGCAGAGTAATTAATTGCATCAATCATGCCCTAGACAACCTCCCATGAAAATATCCTGGAAAACATATCCTTCAAAGAATATTAACTGATCACAAGAAAGTCTGCTTTCAAGGAGCTTATTGAAAAAGGAAATAACAGTAACAACAAAAAGGTAAATGCTTCCATAAGGGTTAAACCCACAGTACTCTATGAGAACATGTTAGGAAGCTCAAATTCTCAGGGGTATGATAAAGTGAGGGTGATATGACCTGTGAATAGAAATTATATACTCTAAGGTCAGCAGGAGTAGGAAGATATGCAAATACATGACATGTTCAGGGAACTGAAGTATGAAGAAGTCCAGTATGGCTGGTTAACATAATCCAAAACAAAGAAAGGTGAAATCAGATAGGTTACTTGGAATCAGATTACAAAGGGATTAGAAGCTATTTTAAGAGAAAACGGTGGACTTTAAAAAGAAACTGAGAAGACTGGGATGATTTTTCAGAAACATGGCCTTTTTTAATAAAGAACTGAATTAGAACAGCAGTTCTCAAATTTTAGCATGTATTAGGATCACCTGGAGGGATTGAAAACATATGGACCCCAACCTGAGTTTCTAACTGAGTAAATCTGGGCTGAGGGACAAATTTCCATGGACCTCCAAAGGTTAATGGTCCACTTGTTACCAACGATCTTCAAATTGACAAATCTAATGGCTAGTTCTCCATCCTTATTTTTCTGCCTAACAGCAGCATCTCACAGTTTACCCTACCGACTTTATTAAGTAACTTTTCATGTGGCTTTTTCTTTTTTTGCTCACAGTGGATCTAAGTTTTTAAAAGATATAGATGGAAAGCCAATAGATAAAGCAGATAATGAATTTACAACAATTAACCTGAATGAACTGAATTACATGTAGCAACAGACAAATGTCAAATACACTGAAGAGAAAGAAGGAACTTATAGAAGAACTATACAAAATGTATACATTTTTAATGAATGTATTATATAAGTATAAAAGCTTGGGCTATTTATCTCTGGAGTAGAAGGGAAGGTTGGAAGTAGAGAACAAAAGGGATTTAAATTTTATCCACAGTAGCTCATGCAAAAAGTTTTTAGAAATTAATCCGAATGATTAACACAACAATTACTCATTTTGGATCAAGCAAATGTTTCATAATCCTCTATGTCCCTAAACTTTTAAAACGTCTTAAGAAAGCATGTCACAAGACTAATAACTGTAGTGTAGAAATTAGTGATTTCTTTATACTTTTCATGACATCAAATTTCTGAAATGAGTATTACTTTAGAAATGTATTAAAGTTTTATAAAAAGCACTGAATATCATAATTAGCAATCATAGGTCATTAATATTTTAAATTAAATTTTACTCTCAACCACTTTTGAAATGTGAAACTCCCCTCAATTCGAACCCATCTATGCATGATCTGTACTAATTCTGTAGACACCTATTTTTGAAGCAGGCATACACAAATAGTAAAGAGTAGTCTGATCAACTATGCTGCACAATTAAATATAGTTAAATTTCTTTTTAAACAAATTACCTGCAAGCTGAGATTTTGAAGGGAGATACCAAATGACAACGGGTTGTCTCGATTTGTTATCTATGAAGGAAAAAAAAGATTTTAGGTAGTTGGACATAATTCACTGTAAAGAAAAATTTCATTTTCTGGAGAGTATGCGATTTCAAACATTCTACTATTTTCGGAAACCAATTTTATTCCTATATTATTTCTAATATGAATCGAAATATTAAATATCAATGTATCAGTGTTGTATAATATTACATACTACTATATCTCCATGTTTTCCAGTTTTAAAGAGTTTATTAAAAAAGTAGTGGACCTTCACAATACTATAAAGGAAATAATTATGAGTTTTAGAAAATTAATTATCTATTTGAGGCCAAATAATTAGTTAAGTCTAGTTTCATTGATTCTTAGAACAGTGCTATCCCAAGAGTTAAATATAATATAACCTAAAATATTTTAAAAACAACTACTAAATTCATAACCTCCACCAATCAAAAGTGATTATAAGGCATGTTCCTTCATTAACTGATTTTGAAAACTTGAGGAAAGTGTAACCAAAGCATTAAAAAATATAAATTACAACTATAATTATAAAAAAGAAAGATCATATGATCTTCAGCTTTGTATCCCTTCAATTCCCACCATCTCACAGGTTGGCCACTATAGCGCAGGTATCAACAAACAGCAAGTGTGTGGGGGTGTGTGTGTGTAAATACCATCTATTAAAATACTTACATCATCCTCATAACGAATGTGGATGTTGGAAATTTTCACTTGAAGATTTTTTATAATTTGAGTAACTAATTTTTCTGTAAAAGTGTCCGGTTTCTCCTCCTGATGTTTATCTACAATTGCAAATATTCCTTTTTAAAACTTGAATGAAAACATATACTCTATGAATATTCACTTATTCAGGTAAAATAATGTCACTATGTTAAAGAAAGAAAATCTATACTTATAAATAGAACATTTTCTTGCTTTACAAAACTGTCTCCCATACCAAAAAATTTCAAGGAACATAGTTTTCAAAAATTATCAATAGTTTCTTGTTCAATGAAACTATGGCCAGCTGTTTAGAATTTACTGGCATTAAATCTTGTAACCTATGTTTGTTAAAAATACCTGAGTGCACTAAGATAGGAAACAATAAGGATTATTAGGTAAGAATTATAATAGGCCCAACTTAGAAAAGTCAGACACATCAGCAAAAGGAGACTTCCCTTAAAATTAGTGATAGGGGCCTCCCTGGTGGTGCAAGGAGTTAAGACGCAGCACTATGAAGCTATCCGCAGCCACTGCAGCACAATTTCGATCCCCAGCCAGGAAGGGGACCCACATGGCACAGCAGACCTCTCCTGTCTCACCTCCTGCTTCTCTCAGCAGTGTATTTCAGTCAATCTGCCTGTTCTGTTCCCCACTCTGTCTCTAGTGAATCCTCTCACCCCCCCACCAACCTCTGGTCTGTACCACAGTTCTTGTATGCATAAATAAATAAAATCTTTAAAAAAAAATAAAATTAGTGAATAGCATCATAAGTTATCTGTATAGAAGTATAAAATAGTTGAATATGCCCCTGCTCCTGATGAATACAAAATAGGAAGACAAAAGACCCTTTCCCTGCTCCCCTTCCAAGCAGAGATGCAAGTTCACCATTCAATCATTTCCTGAAAATGCTATTAACTGTCTCTGGTTTCTCACCTTCAGGTGGAATAGAAAAAAAACTCCTTTTTCAATATCCCTTTGATAGACACTTTTTAGTACCCCTTTTTCACCAACATGAAAATGCCAATAAAAGCAATCTCCTTCCCTATTTCTAGTCCTTTTCCATTAGTACAAACACATTATCTATTTTTTCCTCTAATCATCTACTACTCTTTAATTCAGTTTACCCAGAGGACCTCAGATGAAGGAAAAGTTGATGTGAACATCATAGATACATAAATTCAAGTGTAAGTGAACAAAGTAAATATATTTGAAAGGATTTTGGAGTAAGCAGAAGAATATAAGAACAGCTTTTATCTTAATTTTTGAATCTCACCAGTAAATATCAAATCTTTCGTTTCCTATCTACTTGCACTTTCTCCTCACTTCCTTATCCAGTTCAGAAAACACTATTTCACCAACATATTAAACACTTTTGCTCCCTTTTCTCATTTTCTTCTGTTAGTAAAGCTCCAAATGAAACTAACTACCTACTTTTTATATAAACCTGACTTTGCCTCTGCCTCAATAGCTAAGTACTGGAGGAGAAATATCACTACAGGAAACATTAGATTATTATAAATGAACCAACTTCCACCAACCAGCAACCTTACTACATTTTTCAGGTCAGCTTGTTCATACTCTCAAGAAATTCAAAATTCTTTGTTGTTCTTCTCAAAACTCCAACAAACCTCCCACTGCTCTCTTGAGGAGATGACCTTTCCACTAACTTGGGAAGAAATAGGAGCTACCAGAAAGTTAAGTGATTCTCTGCAATCATCACTCACTCAAAACAGCTGAATCTAAAGTAATCAAATGATTTCCTTGTCACAAATAAAATGACAATTTAATCTTCAATATACCTGATTATCTCAGCAGCATCTGATACATTATTTGCTACCTAAAATGCCTTTTACCCATGGGAACATACCTTCAAATGTCCATCTACTTCTCCAAGCATTCTTTTTTGATGAATCTTGTTCTATTTTTCTCTTCTATACAATCGTTAAATATTGAATTTTCTTAGGGCTCAGTCTGAGAATTGTTTTTTCCTGCTATGCTGCTATTTTGGGGAATATAATCAAAACCAAATAGCCTGAACTATCATCCTAGTGCTGACTACTCTCAATGTATACTGGATGAAGTAGGAAGTGAGATAAAAACTTAGTACATTCAGTAAATTACACATAGGTCAGTGTGGCTGAAATAAAGAACAAGAGATAAGAAAGGAATGGGGTCAGTAATAAGGGTGGAGCCACAGGATTCAAATCATAAGAATTTTTATGTATCTTGTTGAAGAGTTTAAATCTGGTAACAATAATCTATGAACAGTGAGTTTTATGCATGGTTTATACATCTGTATTTTAGACCTGAGTATAAGCAGGAGGGACTTCCTCAGAGAAACCCCATAAATGCGAAAGTAAAGGGGAAAATGGACAAATTCCTAATGCCAAAAGAAAGACAGGAGTAGGCAAAGAGATTCAAAAATTTACAACCTGGAAAGCAGATGGTCTTAGCTCTGAATTAACAGAGTGGAAGAACTCCACTGTCCATATATAAGTTGCCAATAAAATAGTGAGTCAAAAAAAAAAGACAGTACCTTAAAAGATTCATGAATTGGAGTCCTCAAAAAACAAAGGACAAAGGAAAGACAGCAGAGGAAGAGAATGGTAATACAAAAATTGATTTAAATCTATACAATGAGCAGTTAAAATTTTCAGGTACCCTCCCTTTCTGGTCCACATAGCCAAGCAACTATCCTTCCCCTCCCGAGTGAGAAGCAAGGGTTCTAGAGAAAATACACTTGGGCCTCCCCGGTGGCGCAGCGGTTGAGTGCTGGGTTGAGAAGCTGCCCGCAGCCTCTGCAGCGCCGGTTCAATCCCGGGCTGCTCCCCGGCCACCGGAGGAGGGTCCCACATGGCGCCCAGACCGCTCCTGCCGCCCGCTGCTCCCCTCAGCAGTGTACTTCGTCCATCTGCCTGTTCTGCTCCCTGCTCTGGCTCTGGTGAATTCTCTCACCCTCCCGCGCTTCTGACTGTACCCAGTGCTTGTATAAATAAACAAATAAATCTTAAAAAAAAAAAAAAAGTACTTAAAAAAAAAAAAAAGATCATAGAGACACAAAGCACAAATGTGGTTGCCAGGGACTGAGGAAGTGAGAGCAGGAATGGGCGAGTTACTGTTTACAGGTATAGAGACTCAATTTTACAAGACAAGAGACCTGGGTATGGATGATGGTGACAGCTGCACATTAGCATGTATTCAATATCACCGAATCACTTACAAGGTTAGTTAAGATAGTAAAATTTAAGTTGTATACATGTCACAATAAAAAAATGTTTTCTAAGAGTAATGGAGTAGGAGGATAAGACTGTGACAGAAAAGGAAAATTGACAAGGGATGTTGGCAAAAATTGTGTTGAATCTCCTTTCTTTTATCTGTCAATAGTTAAAAAAATGAGGGTTTTTTTATTAGTTCTATTTTTTTATTAAAAAAAATCAATGCATGAGAACAGTGAAGTCAGTATTATTTATTTTTTCTTTTAAGATGCTTACCTATTAAATTAAGGACAGAGGAGAAGAAAAACAGAATGAATGCCAGAGAGTAAGTAGAGAAAAATATGTATCAATGAATAACATCTCCAAAAGGATTAAAATTTTGAGGAATTTAAAAAAAGGCTAGAAAGGTAAGAAAATATACTTAATCAAATTAATTACTACTGCTAAATACTAATTTTAACTAGCTAAATACTAGTCTATAAACTAGATATGTTTACTATATTAAGGTAAATTTCCATAAACATGATAAAACATATAAGCCACATCAAAATTCCCCATGAAATAAAGCTCCCTCATATTTCTTAAGTAATCTGTGCCCCCCCAAAATTATTGAAATGTGGTATGAATTTAAGTCTTTTCCACTTTTATTACTAATTTACTGTTCTCTTTACCTTGATTAGCTACTTTTCGTTTAGCTTCTTCTATTCTTTTTAGTTCCTGTTGCTTTGTTTCCAAGAGATGTTTTTCTTCTTTTGAAGCATCATATTTTATTACTACAAGAAGCATAAAAAACAATAACCTTAATAACTTCAAATGTAAAATCACTCCAAAAACACTCTTGAAAATAATCATTAAAAGTCTGCAAAAGTACAGCATAAAAAATAAATTTAATTTGAATTACTATATACCAAATTTAAATACAGAACTATCTCAAAAAATTCTCCAAAGTATTTTGAACAAATTAGAAAATATACAGATTTTTCCATCCACACACAAAGAGTAACTTAGTGTTTAAAATTTGACTTACCAGAAGAAGGCACTATAAGTAAATAAATATCTTCCAATACAGCTTCAACTGGTTGAGTATAAAGGTTTTTCCATGGAATTTTAAGATTAAGATTACCTACGTGGAAAAAAATGATTAAAAAAATTATTCACATAACCTACCTACATTTACTGTCAATCTATTTTCATTGATGCATTAGAAGACAAAGTAACCTCTGCCCTGGTGTGTTCAATCATTTTTGTAGAAAGCTATCCTGCAACCAAAAAAACAATAAGCCTTTTTGTGACTATTGAATTTTTTTGTGTTAGTTTAGCTGGAAAATCTACAAAGTGATATACAAAATACTTTCAATATTCTATTTATGGTGATATGCACCACAAACAGACCAATACTCTTTTCCTATTAATCAATAATCCTTGATATTACAATTTTGAATTTCCCCAATTCTTACATAAATCTCAGATGCTTCTTACATTTTAAAAGTAGATTATACACTTTTTAAAACTGTGTGTGTACATCACATATAAATTATATAAAGTATACAGACATATGAATACTAGCTAAAAAGCATATGGATCAGACTCCCTGAAGTACAAAATACTACATAAGGAGTTTGTTATACTATTGATTCCAGTTTGGGTACACAAAAATTTTACATAATAAAGAATTTTAAAATATTTAAAGATTTTTTTAAATGTCTGAATCACCTGATTTAGAAATTGTTGCAATAATTAGTGAAAGAAAAGACAATCACTTTTACCATTATTGTATTAACTGTTTAATAACTTAGGAATGGGAAAAATTCACTGGATCTATTTCAGTAAAGAACACCAAAATTCACATTAAATTTTGAAAAAGTTTTCATCATATGTTAATCCAGAGAAAAAAAAATTATCTGACCTCTAAAAGAGGAAAAACTTTCTAAGTTTTGTAATCAAGAGAAAAGAATGACCAATTTCAATTTCTGTACTGTCCAAAATACAATATAAATGAAATGACCAGATAGGAAGAAGTGACATTCACAGAATTTGAGTTCATTTATTTATAAATATACCAAACAGATGGCTTATATACACTAAAATATTTTAAAGGAAAGAGAGCAATGGCAAAATATTATTAAGTAATCAAAGAAGTACACATAAAATATAGCATTTTCACTAAAAAAAAATTATCTTTTAAAAAACTGTTTTCCTGTTAATTACAAAGTACAAACATCTTGTGGAAAATTCAGAAAACTATAAATGAAGGTAATTTTGGAAAATCTTCCACACAAGGACAACTACTTTTAAAAATTATTTATATTTGATATAGATAAATATATATATGCACACACATATAATTCTGTATTCTGAAAGCAGAAAACTTTGAAAGATCAATAAAAATAACAATACTCAATAATGGCAAGGGAGCAACATATTTTATAAAATTGGTTGTAGGACTATGCCACTCACTTGGAAATACGTACTTCTTTCACTCAACAACTATGCTTTTATTATGTACCAAGTATTGTGCTAAATGGTGAGGATGCAATAAAAATTGAATCTATGTCTCTGTAACAAATGTACTATCTAGGAGAAAAAAATTAGTAATGGTAATATTAAAGAACGACAGGTGCTTTGATAAGGAAGTATGCAAACAACACCAACAGATTCTCAAAATTATCTAGTACAGTGTACTTTCTACTGTTATATTAACACTGAAAATTAGCTTATCATTTTAAAACATACAAGGAAAAAGGGAAGGCAAATTCTAAATGAAATCAAGTCTACACTTCTTATGTATTTAACTTTTCTTGAATTTTATGTTAAATTTATATACACTGAAATACGATGGTCACAATTATATAATTCAATGACTTCTGAACAATTTAGAAGCTAAATGAAAGAGGTTAGCTGTAATATTTATGTATCAATGTATAATGTCTAAATATGTACTCAATGGATTATTATACTACCATAAGAAGCAAATGAGGGAAAACTGATATGGATTATAAGAAATTCTCATTAAATGTTAATTCTGAAAGGTATGAAATCATACATATGTCATAATCACAAGTACTGAAAAGACATGTGAAGAAATAAGTAACAATAAATATATTAAATAGAAAAATAATAGATGACAGTTTCCCCCCTTCCATTTATGCTAAATAATCTTTAAATTGGGGGGAGGAGCAATTTGAAACTCAGCAATGTAAGATGATGAAAATTTTCTTAAGCATATGGTCTCATACCAACCCTAAGTGCACAGAATAGAAGATATTCATCAAGTCATTCACAAAAGCTTTCAGAATATCGTGTTCCTGAAATGACAACAGTATGTTGTGGTAACATTATATAAATCTTACTACACAAATTCTTCAATATACAACAAAATTAGTTCCAACTCCCAAATAACATTATCATCTTATCATCTTGTACAAAATTTAAACCAATGAACTACATCACTTCAGAAACCAAACATGCATTTTGTGTTAAACATGTTATTCCAGTCAGATTCTGTTCAACTGATTCATTTAAAATGTAAACTACAAATCCTGGGAAAATAACACAGATCAAGAAATGGCACAATTACTTTCTGGAAACCTAGAAAACTTTCAGAGCAAAAACTAGGTTTCTGATTGGTCCCTAATCACATTGCCTGAATGATCAAAACCCTACTCCTCACCACGTGGACAGTCAGAACACAGCTACACTAACTAGTCAGAAACCTAAGAAACTGAGTTAGTTAAGCTCTCTATCACATGTAACACTTTGGCTCTCAATTTCACTAATTTTTAATACCTAGTATTGGGAAAGGGAGATATGGACTATACCTCAGCTCTATTGAGATAAAAACATTATTTTTAATTACTGCTCAGAAATATTAAAAATTTCATTTTAAAGAGATACCAGGCATGTTATTCTGGCTGCAAATCCAGAAAGGAGGACATACAAATAATAAACATAAGCTTACCTATATGACCAACTTTAATTTTAAAGGGTACATCCAGTTGACTCTAAAAAAAAAAAACATAAAATATTAGTAGATATATAGGTCCACAAAAGAGAAGACTATTTTATCTCCCAAAAATTATTAAAAGGGTCTGAGTTAATTTACATCTTTTAACTTCAACACTTCTTTAAATTTATAAATGTTTGATTGTAATACTATCCTCAAAATACCTAAAATTCAAAAACAATGATATTTTTTAAATAAAAAGAGCAACAGTTCTACATAAATAATGAACACTTAAGTTACCCATGCCATAATCATTACCACTTTTATATTGTTTTGAGATGTTAAAGGCAGGAACTTTCATTTTCAGGTTGTGCTTGTAACACAATTAAAACTATTTTGCAAAAAAAAAAAAAAATTCTTAAGGACAAATGTTTATTGCTTATTTCATATTCATAAACTTAACTCTACAATCCAGCTAGATTTGGATGGGATAAGGAAAATGCAAACCCAAAGAACTATAGAGGGCCTCCCTGGTGGCACAAGGTGTTTAAGCACAGCACTGTAAAGTTATCCAAAGAACTACAGAGAGCATAAAGACTTAGGATATTTTGCACAGGTGGGGATAAAGGGATATTCTCGTGAGCTACAGAAGGAATAGTCTGGCGGTTAATATAAAACACAAGTCAAATTTATTAAATTTGTCCAAGGTTAGCAATGGTGATCTTCTTGCTAGTGTTGTCATTCCTGGACCCAAAGCCCTCCATGGCTTCTATAATAATCATGCTCTCCTTTACCTTGCCAAAAGATCACATGCTTTCATCCAGCCACTCAGGCTTGTCAGTGAAGTTGAAAAACTGAGAACCATTTGTTGAGTCCATCATTTGCCATTGACAATATGCCAGGACCTGCTTTAGGATAGTATTCCCATCAAATCATCAAATTTTCCCCAATAGATGGACTTGCCAACAGTGCCATTACTGCCTAGCACATAAATCCTAGAATAATTCTATGAAAGCAGGATCCTTTATAACCAAATCCTTTCTCCCCAGTGCTCAGAGCATGAAAGTTTTCTGCTGTCTTTGGAACTTTGCAAGCAGCTTGAAGGAGATGTGGCCTAAGGGCTCGCCATGGACAGTGACATGGAAGAACATGATGGGATTCGCCATGGCTACATGAAAGAAGCAGTCTGGCAATAGCACTGCCTGCAAAGCAGCAAAAAACATTCTTTAAAAACAATACCCCCCCAAAAAAATAAAAAATAAAAACAATTCTCCCATTCAATAGGGAAAAGGACAACCTTTTCAGTAAGTGGTGCTTGAAACACTTAAAGGAATAAAGCTGGACCCTTATCTAATATAACATACAAATATTAACTCAAAATGGACATTAGTCCTAAAATAGAATTAAAACTATAAAACCCATAAAAGAAAACATAAGGTAAAATCTTCATGAAATTAGATTTGTCAATGGGTATGGAAAATGGTGGCAGTTCCTGAGAAAGCTAAACATAAAATAACCATATAATCCAGTAACTCCTAGGTATTTATCCAAAGGAAGTAAAAGCAAGAATGAAAAGGCACATGAATGCCAATGTTTACAGCAGCATTATTCACAAAAGGCAAAAACAACATGAGTGTCCACTGATGCGTGGATAAACAAAATGTGATTATATACATATAGTAGGAATGTATTCAACCATAAAAAGGAATAATGTTCTGATACATACTACAACATGGATGAACAGTGAAGGAATAATGCTAAGTGAAATAAATCAAACACAAAATGACTAACAGCATGATTCCCAGGTGAATACATAGGGACAGAAAAAATAGATCAGAGGTTAACAAAGTCCACAGGGAGAAGGAATGAGTTATTTCTTAATGGTTACGGGGTTCCCACTGGTGTAATGAAAAAGTTTTGGAAACAGATACTGGGCGATGGTTGTACAACAGTATGAATATAATTAATGTCACTGGATTCTATCATTTAAAAAAAGGTTAAATGGGAAGGGAAGGAAACTGTAAGATGACTGGGATGATAAATTAATCATTTAAAAACACTATAGAGGAAGAAATAGTAAATATTTTTAACAGGGGGAAAATAACACTAATAGTTTGTGCTTTTAAAGAAATTAAAACTCCACTTTGCAGAATTCACATTTTACAAAATATATTTTCAAAAAATTTTGGTAATTTTCAGTGATGAAATTAATTAGGAACACGTCTATATAACTAAAGGTATTAATACCAAAATTATTTTCATAACCTACCAGGGCATTTTCTTTAATTTCAAGATGCTTGAGGACTACAGCTCCTAAAAAAGATTAAAAAGATAAAGTTAAAACATTCAATTTTTTATTTTAGTAACTTAAGCATGCTTCATTCCTAAATATCATAGAAAGGGAAAATTTATAAATAATGTACATAGCAGAAGTAGAATCCAACTACAATCTTATTAGCTACAATTCATTTCTTCAACTTAAAGATTGTATGTTTGACCAAAACATTTATTATCAAGTTCTGACCTGCGCATCTGCAGTTCAATATTAATGTATATAAACAATGTTATGCCAAAACATGAATGTAACTAGGAACATGATATAAGTTCAGTATGCAAAACTGGACTGTATTTAAGCATACTTGCAGTGAACTGCAAAGAAATTTTTAAAATCTAAAATAAGGAGCTAAAAGTTATGTAAATGCAAACTTCCAAAATTGCAATGCAACATGAAAATAACGAAAACAGAAGGACTGCAGGACAATAGTAAAAGCAGTAATATATGTGCACAGGGGGAAAAAGCAGAGAGGAGAAAAGAATATTTGGAGTAATAAGGCTATTATTTCTAAAATTAATGACAACACCACCAAACCACAGTTTGAGAAAGCTCAACAAATGCCAAGCAGATAAAAATCTATACCTAGACATATCATAATCAAGCAGTACAAAAATCAAAAAAAAAAAATCTCTTGAATATGATCCCATAATCACTTTTGGGCATATGTCCAAAGGAAATGTAAACATGATATCCAAAAGATATTTTACTCCCATGTTTATTGAAACATTACTCATAATAGCCATGATATGGAAACAACTTATCAATAGATGAATAAAGATATGAGATGCATACACATAACAGAATACTATTTAGCTTTAAGAAAGAAAGAAATCCTGCCAATTATAATAACATTGACAGGTTCAGAGGGCATTGTGCTTAATGAGATAAGCCAGGCAAAGAGAAACAAACATTAAATATTGCATGACATATTTGGACTGCAAAAAAGCTAAACTCATAGAAACTGAAAAAAGAATGGTGGCTATTAAGGGCTAGGATGTGGATGGTTGGAGAGATGATGTTTAAAGTTAAAGTACAAACCTGCATCTAAGAGATAAACAAGTTCTGGAGATCTAATACAAACACAGCATTTAGGTCTACAATACTGCATTATATACTTCAAAACTACTACAAGACTAGATTTTAAATATGCTAACGACAAAACAAATTATGTGACATTAAGAGTAGTTAGCTGAAACTAAGGTGATAATAATACTGTAGTATATAACTGTGTCAAATCAACATGTAGCACACTTTAAACTCACACAATATTATATGTAAATTCAATTTTTAAAAAACTTTAAAAAAGCAGAAGAAAAAAACACACCAACAGAGGTGTAAGAAATAAGTGAATTAAAATTTTTTCTTTTTGAAATTTAATTATTTATTTTTAACTTCCACTCTTGACATACTAGTGTATGCTTCACCTAGAAATGGTTTACAGGACTAATAACTATAATGAATAAACAACTTTTTAAAATGAAATACATTAATTTATATCCTTGTTCATTTTTTTTTGATCGTATAGGATTTCTCCCCTCAGGTGTGGTCAGCAAAGCTCTCCCAACACTAAAGTACCCATAGTCTTCCACCATAGTCCACTGTGCTTTCCTTCATCCCACCCCCAATTCTCACCCCTCTCCCTCCTCCTCTCCTCAGGATGCTCCAGATCTATGGTCAGCTTTCAACAACTGATTTTAAAGTTTGTCTTTGTCGGACCCTTTGATTTTTTTTTTTATATTCCACAAATAAATGAAACCATCTGGTATTTATCTTTTTCTGTCTGGCTTATTTCATTTGGCAGAATCCCTTCCAGCTCCATCCAAGCTGCCATGAATGACAAGAGTTTATCTTTTTTGATCTTTGAGTAGTATTCCATTGTGTACCTATACCACGTGTTCTTGATCCACTCATCTGTTTAGGGACATTTAAGTTGTTTCACTATCTTGGCTATTACAAATAGTGCTTCAAAAAACATAGAAGTGCAGGTTTACTTTTAAATTAACGTTTTTGTGTTCTTTTGGGTGAATTAAAAATTTTGCTAGAGAAAATCAAAAGCAGACTCAAACAGGCAAAAAAATGAATCAACAGACATAAAGCCAGACCATTTTAAACTACAGAGTAAGCAGAAAAAAGAAATATGAACAAAGCCTAAGAAATGTAGGGAACAAATTAAGAAGATCAATATATGGATTACAGGAGTTCAAGAGGAGGAGAGATAAAAAGGCAGAAAGCTTTTAAGAAGAAATAATGTCCCAAATATGAGGAAAAATAAACATAAAATCCACGAATTTCAAAATAACTACAAGTAGGATAAGCCTAAAGAAACCCAAGCAAGAAATATGATCAAATATAAAGGGAGAATACTAAAGAAGTGAGAAAATAAAGACTTTAAATGTACTCAGGTTTTCCAATAAGATTACTGAATTTCTCAACAGAAACTTAACAAGAAAACACTCCCTACACAAAGACTGAACCATGAAGAAATACAAAATATTAACTGACTTATAATTAGTCAGGTGATATAGGTATTCAAGAAATTCCCAACAACTTATAAGACCAGTACCAGCAGGAACATTATTCCTATACAAGTTCTTCTGAAAATTTAATGAGAAAGTATACTTTCAAACTTAGTCCATAAGGTCACATTAATCACATTAATTAGTCCAAAAACTAGAAAAAGACACAAGAAAACTACAGATCAGTATCCTTAGTGAATAACTGGTGAAAGAATCCTCAACAAAGCACTAACAAACAAAATTCAACAGCACATTAAAAAATTATACATTACTCAATAAATGTATACCTAGAATGCAAAGCTACTTCAACATATGAAAATCAATCAACGTAATACACCATATTAACAGAATTTGAAACAAATACATTGATCACCTTAACTAATGGAGAGGTATTAAAAAATTTCAATATCCTTTCATAGTAAAAACACCCTATAAACTAGGAATAGTATGAAATTATCTCCACATAATAAAGGTAATATAGGAAAATCCCAGCCAATGGTAAAAGCAAATATTTTCCTCTAAGATCAGGAAATGATAAAGATGACCACTTTTAGCACTTTTATCCAACTTAATCCTGAAAATTCTAGCCAGAGCAATCAGACAAGAGAGAGAGAGAGAGAGAAGTAAAAGTCATTCATATTAGAAAGGACTAAGTAGAATTATCTTTGTTCACAGACATGATCCTATGATAAAAATCCTAAGCATTAGATTTTAAAAAAAGTGAATTCAGCAATGTTGCCAGATAAAAAACTGAAACATGAGAGTTGTGATTCTCTACACTACTAATAAACAGTTCAAAATGGAAATTAAGACAAGACTTTCTTTACAATGTCATTGACATATTTAAGAATAAACATAACCTAGGGTGTAAATGATTTGTACCCTGAAGCAATAAAGTGTTGTTGAAAGGAATTAATAACACACATAAATGAAAAGAGAACCCATGTCCACAGACTGAATGATATAATATTAAGATGTTAGTATTACCCAAAGCAACTAACATACTCATTCCAATTCACATTAAAATCCCGCAAGAGGCTCTTATAAAAACAATCCTGACTAAGGAAAGGAAGGTGAAAGTCTTACACTTCCTAATTTCAAAATATACTACAAAAGTAATTGAAACAGGGCCTCTCCTGGTGGCGCAGGCGGTTGAGCACAGCGCTGTGAAGCTGTCCACAGCTCCTGCAGCACCAGTTCGATCCCGGCCGGCCAGTGAGGGTCCCACATGGTGTGGCAGACCTCTCCTGTCTTTCCCACTGCTCCCCTCAGCAGTGTATTTCATCAGTCTGCCTGTTCTGCTCCCCGCTCTGTCTCTGGTGAATCCTCTCACCCTCCTGCACATCTGGCCTGTACCCCGGTTCTTGTATAAATAAATAAATCTTAAAAAAGAAAAAAATAATTGAAACAGTAATAAAAAGTGTGGTATTGATATACAGACACTTAGATCAACAGAATACAGAGCCCAAAAATAAACCCTCACATCTACAGTCAAATGATTGTCAACAAGGCTACCAAGTTCATTCTCAAAGGGAAAGCTTTTCAATAGATGTTGGAATGCCATATTCACATGTAAAAGAAGTGATCCTTCCCCCATACGTAACAATTAACTCAAAATGTATCCAAGTCTTATTTGTCAAACCTAAAACTATAAAAAATTTTAGAAGAATGCAAAGGCGAAAAGTTGGCTAGCAATGGGTTTGGTAATGATTTGGGGCTATGACACCAAACGTACAGGAAATGACAACAACACAGTAGATAATTAAGATTTCACCAGAATTTTAAGTGCATGCATCAAAGGACACTATCAATAGTGAAAAGGCAACATAGAGAATGGGGAAAATATCTGCAAATCATTTATCTTAGAAGGAAATAAAAAAACCACAGTATATAAAGAACAACTATTACACAACAACAAAAAAACAAACAACCCCATTAAGAATAATCAAAAGTCTTCAAACACAAGAAAAGATGTTCACCATTACATTAAAGAAATGCAAATCAAAACAATGAGCTACTACCTCACACCCTAAGTTTGGTACTATCAACAAAACAGAAAATAGCAAATATCTCTGAGGATGTGGGAAAACTGGAGCCCTAACATATTATTGTTGAGTCTCTAAAATGGTGCAAATGCTATGGAAAGTTGTATGGTAGTTACTAAAAAATTTTTAAATATAATTACTACATGACCCACTTGTGGATATATACCCAAATATATTAAAGCAAAGACTCAGATGTTTTTCTCACTCATGCTTGCACCATTTTTCACAATGGTCAAAAATTTCAAGTAACGACCCAATTAATGTCTATTGACAGATGAACAGAAAAAAATTAGGTAAGTAAGAAAAGAAGGACAGGAGGGGGAGGAAGAAAGAGAAGGAGGGAGAGAGAAAGGAGGGAGTAACAAAGGAGTTATTTAGTCTTAGAATAAATGCAATTCACACATAACCTGTAACATA